TAAGGATTTTAGAAAAAAGTATTGTCTTATAGTTGGAAAAATACAGTATATATATATATATATATATATATCGTCAAATTCTGAAGATGTCAGCTCCACTAGTTAGACCAGACCAGGAAATGTCCTAACTTTTAACTTTCCTAACTCCATAGGAAAGTTTAAATGACTTTTATTGAGTTTCGCTATAATAACAGAATCTTGCCTGTCTGATTGTACCGTACCTCCTCCTCTTTCTCATTATTCAATGAATTAGGGAGGCATCTCCCTGAGCTACTTCCAAATGTTATCTCATTGTTCTGGACTTAAAAAACGTTTCATCCCTTTTGAAACTACTATAACTACCAATGGGCCTCTTGCTGTCTCCCCTCAGCAGTCTTGGAGGACAGATTCAGTAAAACTCCCATTATCCATGGAAATTATGCCCATGTGGCTCAGGTCACATTGAATCTGGGGAACTTGTTTTTCAATGTTGTGAATTTTATTCCAAAATTTGAGAGAAAGGCTACTTTGGCTGATGTTGAAAAATCTGCCTGGTCAAACAGAGACATTTTATATAAATTACTTTATAGCAGACTGAGATTCCAGTGTTACCTACATAGTTGCCAAATTCTGCTACCTAGAGGCAAGGATACTCTGTCAGAAGGTCACTATTATGGACAGAATGACTGATTTAGAGATACTGATAGCTATTTGGGTACTAAGAGGATAAATGTTTAGCTATCTGAAACTTTAACTGAGTCTGGCCTATGACCATTATAAAGTTTTGTTTATTTGATGGAAATTCCTATCCCTATTCACTAAAGCTTAAAGATTGGTGAATTAAATGAATTTGTTGTGCACTTTTCTTTTTATCCAAAGAACTCCATTTTTTTATTATAGAAAAAAGTCATTTATTGGACAGGGATATCTACAAATAATAATAATAATTAAAAAGCACCTGCCACATAACACCCCAGACTTAACAATTGTTGATAAGAAAGACAAAACAAGTCTGGATAGTGGATATTGCAATACCTGGAGACAGCAGAACAGAAGAGAAAGAACTGGA